CTCTCTCTCTCTTTTCTCTCGGCTCAGTCTTGCGGACTGCTATTAAAACCGTGACGCGTGCATCACGTGCCAGGCAAGGATGCCGCCGCCCAAGAGCCTGGCATATCAGCGGCAGCAAGGTGACGTCGTTGCTGCCTGACACCCATTGTCCTTCCTGGCTGTCCCGTGGAAGGCACCATCGCGGACATCAACGGACAGCGCGGGCTCAGCACCCGTCGATTTGTCCAGTGAAGCTGTCCGGTCGGCACTTGAGCGGAGTGGACCCGTCAATTTGTCCAGTGAAGCTGTCCGGTCGGCACTTGAGCGGAGTGGACCCGTCAATTTGTCCAGTGAAGCTGTCCGGTCGGCACTTGAGCGGAGTGGACCCGTCAATTTGTCCAGTGAAGCTGTCCGGTCAGCACTTTAGCGGAGTGGACCCGTCGATTTGTCCAGTAAAGCTGTCCGGTCAGCACTTGAGCGGAGTGGACCCGTCGATTTGTCCAGTGAAGCTGTCCGGCCGGCACTTGAGCGGAGTGGACCCGTCGATTTGTCCAGTGAAGCTGTCCGGTCGGCACTTTAGCGGAGTGAACCCATTGATTTGTTCAGTGAAGCTGTCCAGTCAGCACTCGAGCGGAGTGGACCCGTCGATTTGTCCAGTGAAGCTGTCCGGTCAGCACTTTGGCGGAGTGGAACCGTCTTACACGAAACGCCACTGCGACGCTGGCCCCATCTTGTACATTTCTGAAGACCTGTTGGTCGGCCGCTATGCCCGTCGACAGCAGGAATAAGGGATGCACTGGCCTGCCATGATGCTGCCGAACTGTCCCACGCATCGGCCCGACTCGCAGATCGCACATGTCTGCAGGAAGCTGTCACTGCGGTGCACGTGCAAGGCCATGTACGCCAGAATGCCCGAATAGCTAATGCGCTATCTGGCTATCTGTCGTCGGTCCGCGGGCAGGTGGCGTGCCACACTGCAACCGGTGATCTTGAACTCTGAAGAATCTCTCTTTCACGTCCTCTGGTTCCCGTGCATAGTCTGCCACCATGGGACGCTTCTTTCTCGGGCCTTCGGACCAGGGGTTAGTTCCCTAAAATGCGTTTGTGAAAGGACGTAGGGAGGAAGAGTTACAAACTGTACCCACCAAGCTCTCCAAATCGGAGCTCTCGGGATTCGGAATTTCGGAAGATTCAGTAACAACCGAACCAGGGGTGGGGTTGGCAAAGCTGTAGTGCTGGGAGAGCTACAATGAACTGATATTGACCAATTTACGCTGACATTAAGGAAACCATGCAACGCCCAGTGGACGTGTCGCATGCCCATCCCCATCCATTTGTTGACGAAGCCTCTGCGACAGTCTGCCGTTGAAATTGATATTCTGAACTTGATCTGGCACGTCGGCTCGGCTCAGCTCGGCTGCACTCGGTCCTTTCGTATCTCGACTATTTCGTATCTCGACTTTGTACTATTGTCATGGAAAGGGAAACGGGGAACTGTGATTATGGCCATGATGAGAACAATCCATGCATGGGTATTTTTGTCTACACCACATTTCGGGCGGCTGCTTTTGCGGCCGTTGTTAATGTCAGAGAACTGTTCTCACAGCTGCCGAAATGATGATTTCGCTTTTAATGCCACGCTTGCACCATATTGCCTGCAAACAATTTAAGCTGCTTTGCACCCGTACTTCAATGCAGATAGCAAATAATTATCTGCAGAACTGCTATATCTGAATTGAAAGAACTGCTCACTGACAAGAACCTTTTATTCACGCTAAGGACAAGCTGATGTGCTTAGTAAACCTACATCACAATACGAGTTATGAGATCAAAAAGTTACGTTTGTTTTCCCGTTTGCGACGCGTTTTGGATTTACACTACTCTTTCGTACGTGTTAAATCCTCCTCTTCAACCCTGCCTTTCAGTTCCACTCGCCATCCCCGCCTTGTCTTGTCCTCCTCGTATGACGCCTTTGCTGTCCGTAAACTAGGCGCCTGACTGGCGGTGAGATCTTTCTGTCTCTGGCCGTCAGGAGGCCGGCTACCTGCCGTTGACCAACCTGGTGCTGGAGACACGCCCCTGCCAGCGGCGGATCATGAACTACACCCCATTCATACGTGGCGGACCGGAAAGAAGCGCTTTTGTTTTAAGTGTACCGGCAGGAGCGGGACCTGCTGGGTTCGCAGATGACGCGGCAAGCCCAGCCCCGGCCGGCCGGTCGCCGGCAGCCGTGCAGGCGGCTGTGCGCTCTTTTTTCCCGGAGTTGTTCATCTTCCAGCTGGAGGGTCTGGGGTGAGTGAAAGGTGCCGATCAATCCCGTGCGACCGGAACAGGAGATCTGGCCACATTCCGAGAGGTGGACAGCCTTGACGGTGAGTGCCCTGTATTGGGCAGCCGGCCTAATCCTGAGGGGTAGACAGCTTTGACGATGAGCGCCCTGTATTGGGCAGCTGGCCTAATCCTGAGAGGTGGACAGCCTTGACGGTGAGCGCCCTGTATTGGGCAGCTAGCCTAATCCTGAGAGGTGGACAGCCTTGACGGTGAGCGCCCTGTATTGGGCAGGTCGCTCCACTCCTCCAGGTCGATTTCTCGCAGGCGTTGCGTATAAATGTCGGCGATCTCTTTGGCCGCCGTCCTAAGACAGATGTAGGTAACTTCCACCGAGCAGGCGTCTCCGAGTTAAGCTCATAATCGGATGGGAGACACGGACGGTAGTGTCGGGAGCAAAGCGTGTACGCAGCGTGCCATGTTTGCAGCAAATCCTCCTGGACTTGAGCACGCTTTCAAAGAAGTTTGTATAACAGACCTGTCTTAGGCTACAAATACCGTCTCCGTGAACGAGGCGATATTGTCGAGAACGAGGTGTTACTGTCGCGACTGAAACTCACTCGACTAAATAGCACATCCGCTGCTTTCGTTGCCACGAACGGGAAGATTTTCGATTAAGCCATGCGCCAAGCCTGTCAGCTTGACAGAATGCTGGTTTTGAATAGCATCAGATTATCGAAGGTATTTTGATAGAGCAGTATCAAGTGTATGGAAGGCGTTGTGAAGAAACTAGACGCCTTACGGTTTGTACAATTTTCCAGAAGGTCTTATGTTAGCTCAACGTCGCGGCTGCTTTCCGGTGGCATTCAGGATAATCAGGATTATGATCTGGTGGCTATGTCAGTTGCAGTCGACCATGTGGTTAGGCGTTAACTTTGGCCCACAATCGTGGCCAAAAGTAGAGGAGGTTTTTGGAATAGGTGAAGCATATTCCAAACTCCCTGGAGGACAGATAAACTAGTGGCGATCTCGCTCGCGCCAATCCTTGTCGCTTGCCAAGCAAGGCAAGCTTCAAGCATCTAATCTTGTAAGCTCCAAGCGTCTAATCGTCAGTACCTCATCCAGACACTTTAAACAACACCCATTCCACATAACGGTGTCCACACGCGCAACCAGCAGTGCTTCAATGGGCCTTCCAATTTTCTGAGCTTACTCGGTAAATTGGAATAGCATCACCCTATTCGTGCCGTCGAACGGGAATGATCATGGACATGTGACATCAGAATGATAGTGATTTTGCATAAAGTTTAACCAATGCATAGACGCGTAGGACATCCAACAGGCAATGGTTCTCTGGGTTAAAGGGGGTGTTCCACGTTCGGGCAGGATTTTCAACTGAAATAGCCATCTTAAATATCATTCGGTGCAGTTCGCAACCCTACCCTCTGTAAGACTAAACCCTCCTAGTTTCTTATTTATACGCCCGTGAAGACGTGCAGACTGGTTCGGGGAGACCCGAGCATCCATGACGCCATAATAGCGTCATTTAAATCCTGTCATCCCATTGGCCGCGCAGCGGTCAAGGCCAAGACAAGCATAATCTAAGTCACTTATATCCGACGTTTGTGGGAACGATTTTCCAATGCAACGGACGTCAACTGGCGTTTAATCAATGTTGTGCAAAGTAGCATGACGTAACGGGCAAATGACGTACTGAGAAGAATATTTGATAAGTAGAGAGGCTGTGAGGTCTAGAACTGCCTTTCCCACTTAAAAGAACACCAATTGTTATAAGTGAACTTATTTTAGCACATCTGATGTTTGATTTAATGTCTTTAAATATGAAACATTCCTTTTAAACCAATCGAGATAGAAAGAGATACCGGTAGAGACAGGGACAGGGACAGGGACGGACAGGGACGGACAGGGACAGGGACAAGGGACAGGGACAGGGACAGGGACAAGGAGAGAGAGAGAGAGAGAGAGAGAGGGGGGGGAGAGATATGTCTTTGTCCTGATGCGGGGCCATGCAGAAGTTGCCCGAGATTCCATAATTGGGGAGATATCCCATACGTCTTTACCTGATTGGGATTTCAGGTGTCTTTGACTGCCTCTGTTCACAACTTAGTGTGAAGCTCAAGTCGGCCCAGTCTTCTCTGATTAACGTCACACTGACAGCATCCGGCAGCTCTGTGGTTGGCGGGTTATGTGTAGCTAGTTTATAGTGAAAGACTGCTAGACATTTTAACACCATGACATGGGCTGATGTTATAATAGCGGAGCTGCACTCGCGATTGAACTGCATAGCGTTTTTGATATCATCAAACCCACAAATATGGGCT